GCCAAAATTAATTTGGGATTTGGAACTTTTTGACCCTCGGGTCCCAAATAATTTTGGCATATTTTGGCAGCCATAATACCAAAATAATTTGGGATTTGGGTGGCAGGTATATGGTACATCCTTAAATCAGGTGTATATCGGATACCTGATAAGTGTAGAAAATATTTTATATATACATCGGGTATCTGGTAAGTGTAAAAAAATATTTTTTACACCTATTGGATACCCGATATACACCTGATATTAGGGACATACCATGCATATATCAGGTATTCGATGTATATATGATTTATTAATTTTTGATCAATGAAGTTCAGGATTTATAATAATAGTTTATAATTACTTTCATTAACGCAAGAATAATAATATTATACAATTATACAACCAAGTATTTAATCTTATAATATTTATTATTCCTTTGTTAACTATATGTTTTATCATTTAATAATTATTTTTATAATTTATATTTATATATTAATTTAAATATAGGATAATTTTTACAAGTATTTATCTTGAAGTTACAAATTATAAAATTAAATTTATCAATTTCAAATAAGTTACAAATTATCAAAATTCAAAATTATAAAATTGAAAACTAAAGAATTAAGATAAAACTTTGATCCTTACAAAAATAATATTTTCTACACATTCTAATATAAAACATAAATAAAAACAAATAAAAATAAATAAATTTTTATTTATAAAAAATTTTTTTTATTTATTTTAAAAGTAACCAAACCAAATTTCATTTTAAAAGTAATTAGATTTCTCTTTTAATTATTTATGCTCTACTGAAAAAATTTCCTCAACAATTGTCAATTTTTTTTACAAAAAATTAAATTTTCAAATATATTTGCTGTTAATTTTTTTCTCTTTATAGTTATAATATTTCTTGCTTGACTAAATAATCTTTTACTTGAAGTGGAGGTTACAGAAATAGTCAAATATTTTTTAACTAATTTTGATAATATTGAAAATCTTGATACATTATTTTTCCACCATAAAAGAGGACAATTTTCAAAATGAATTTTAGATAATGCTAAATAATTATCTACTTCTTTAAGATTATTGTTGTTTTGAAATATTCTTGCTAAAAATAAATTAGATTTAACTAACTACTTTCAATTTCTTGATTATCATTAGTTAAATTTTTTATATCTTGATAAGTTTTTTAAATTGTTCTAAAGTTTTAATGTATATTTTTTTTTGAAGCAAATTCTAAATCTTTAAATCTGGGATCTAATAATGTAACCAACATTCTATGTTCTTGTAAAACTTTTCAATAATGTTTAATGGTATAGTTTTAACTTATTTTTTTAAATTTAAACAATTTTGTGATAAATTAATACTAATTTTTCTATTTTTTGATTCTCCAGTAATAGGTTCATCATCTTCTTCTGATACATCAATATAGCTTATATTATTATCAAAAGCTGTATTTGAATTATTTAAATTCATAATTTCAACTTCTGAATTATTAGGTAATAATTTTTAACTAATTATTTCTAATTTACTATACATCAAACTAATAGTAGTATATTTATTTCCATCCAAATATTCAGTTGCTTTAGCAAAATTTTCTAAAATTATAATTAATTCACCAATTGCTTGCCATTCCTCTTCTGTTAAATTTTTACTTTTTAATTTTCTTCCATCATATCTTGTTAAAAGATTTGAATCAATTATTATAATAGTTGTCATAATTTCAACAAGATCTTTAATTTTAATTAGACATTTCTATACAAGATAATTAGAATTCCATCTTGTCTCTATATCAGAAATTAATCTCAAATATTCATGAATATCTTTCAAATTCTATAATAATATATTTTATTAAATAATAATAAAAATATCAATAAGTTGTTCAATTAAGTTTATAATTTAAAAATTTATAAATTATTTAATAATTATCTTATTATTGATATGACTATTATTTTTTTGTACTTCTATTAATTTTTCTGTTTGTTTAGATGTAGTAAAAAAATTAATTAGATACTGTTACAGAATGAAATCATTATGATAAAAAAAATATAATATATAATACTATAAAAAAAACACTTGTTAAATAATTAGTAATAATATTAAATAATAATAATATTTAAAATTCAATTAATAAACATTAATTTATTTAACAAATAGTGATATTTTAATAACATTTCAACTAAAATTTACATTTAGTGATACATATTAGCTAATCTGATGATAGTAGTATTGACTATACTTGCACGCAAAATTATTTTGGAACCCGAAACCTGAAATATAAATATCCTGAAATTGACCCCAAAATACCATTTCAAAATTTTGATATTTCAAAATTAAAATGGGAATCGAAATTAAAATAAAAGTCGAAATTAAAATAAAAATCGAAATTAAAAACAGGAGTCGAAATTAAAAATAAAAGTCGAAATTAAAATGGGGGTCGAAATTAAAAATAAAAGTTGAAATTAAAATAAA